CAGTCCTTGGAGAGGGACATCATGCTTGGTTAGGGTGGAGGGACAGCACAGGAGGGGAAAGCCCTCTATGAGTTGGATTGATTCAGTGACTGGGGTAATCGGGATGGGAGTGTCAGAGACAGTGCGATTGGCACAGGACAGAGCAGAGTTTAAGGCTGTTGTACATAGGGTCGTTATGAGTCGTAAGCAACTCGATGGCACATAACAACAACAACAACAATATAGCTAGAAGGGAAGCTGGGAATGTAGCAATAAAATGTATTTGCCTAATAGATTCTCGATTATTAATCAAACATAAAAAAGTTATGAGTAGAGCCAAAAGGGTTTTTTAAACATAAAGAAATTATAGCTACAAGTTATAATAACCATTAAAACAATTGGAGTGGCTGTCTAAGAATTTAGGAGAAAGAAAGCAAGGTCATTAGATGATCCAAATTCCTTAAACCTGTTAAAGGTTAAATTAATGTTCATTCCTTCTCCCTCATTTTACAATGAGTACCTGTCAAGTTCTAACCTTGACCTTATAGTGACCTAGTAAAATCCACCATGTGCTCTGCAGGAGAAAGATGAATAATCTCCTCCTGTGTGATTTATGACCTCTGAAAATTTGTTAGAAGGGAAGCTCTGAGTTAATTCTGACTTGATAGTGCATAATAACAACAAACTTGTGATTAGTGCATACAGTTCATCTTTTTTAATTGGTTTATGTACAATAATGGGTTCACATTGTATTTCATTCACATACATCGTATTTTATATAATCATTTCTTTATATTGTGTTTCATAAAATCATTCATATACATTTGATGAGAAGCAAAAGGGCCTGGAAAAGCATAACCAAAGATCTGCTTCTAAAAGTTACAGCCTTGATAGCCCTGCAGAGCAGTTCTGATCTGCACTCACGGGGTCACCATGAGTTAGAATCCGCATGACAGTAACAGTAGCAAAGACTGTCATCAGGGATTTGTGCATGTTTTGTGTTGTTATGTCTGTGATTAAAATTTGGCTTTCTCAGTATTTCTGTATTTGTCTGGTTTTCTGTTTCTTCAAAATTATAGGAACTGTTTCTGTTTCAGATCAAAGGCAAAATAAAATTTAAAATGTTAGCATGTCACTGGATTTGACAACTTATTGAATGCTGTAAGAGCATTTTGTTCTACTGAAAGCAATTACTAGGTCTTTGCCATAGACTTTTTAAAGAAGAAATTTCAACTGTCTCCAAGGGAATTGCTAAAACAGCCATGAGCTCTCACACTGCAATCCCCAGTTGTGTTGTTTCCATGTGGGTGGAGCAATATTCTCTACCTCCCTACCTTCATGCTTATCCCCAAGAGCCCAGTGCTATGCACAAAGGACACAATTGAGAAGTACAAGCTAATTAACTCTTTTCTTGGGACAATATTTTCAGCTTCTCATGTTTCTTGGAAAGGGACTAATTCAGTTGTATAGTGTACTGCTGCATGTTGGGATCTCTATTACTGTGTGAATCCAGAGAAAATTGCAGCCAAGAAAGTTCAATGAAGCTCAAATCTACTTTGTAACACATAGGATTGTTGTGAGTCACAATTGCCTCAACAGCAATGGATCTGGCACAATTGTTTTGGTTGTTGCTACATGTTGTAGAGTCTACTATGACTTATAGCAACTCCATGGACAATATCTCTGAACTCTACCCTATATTGACAATATCTCTGACACACCTGCCCCCACTGCCACAGTTATTATGTCAATCTATCTCACCCAGGGTCTTCATCTCCTGCTCTGACCCTCTACCTTCCCAGAGACTAGCCCCTGTTGCAACATACCCAACATCTGTAAGATGGAGTTTCAAAATCCTTGCCTCCAAGGAATAACCTCATTTCACCCTCTCCAAGACAGTCCTGTTTGTTCTCTTGACAGTCTATGATATGTTCAATACTCTTCTTCCACACCACAACTGAAAAGCATCAATTCTTCTTCTGTCATCCTTATTCATTGTCCAGCTCTCAGATGCATAGCATGTAACTGAGAAGACCATGGCCTGGATCAGGTCCATTTTAGCCTCAACACTGACATTGTTGCTCTTTAGCACCCCAGAAAGGTCTCTGACAGCAGATTTTCACAATACAACCCATCTTTTCTTTACTATTGGTGTTAAGAGCATTGATTGTGAATCTGAGCAAGATGAAATTCTTAACAATCTTGATCTCCATCTATCATGATGCTGCCAGTTTGCCCAATGGTGAGAATCCTTGTTTTATTGAGGTTGAGGTACAATCTGTATTGAAGACTGTAGTCCTTGACTTTCTGTAGCAAATGCTTCAGAACATTTCAGCTTTTCAAGAAGGCTGTATCATCTGCATAACACAGGTTGTTAGTGAATCTTCCTGCAATCCTGATGCCACATCTTTCTTTATAAAGTCCAGCTTCCCAAATAATCTGTCACACATATAGACTCAAAAGGTATGGTGAAAGGACACATCCATGACACACTCATTTTCTGATTTTTAGCCATGCAGTGTTTCCTTACTTTGCTCATACAATTGCTTCCTGATCCAAATATAGGTGTTGCATGAGCACAATTAAGTAATCTAGGATCCCTATTCTTTTCCATGGTAGCCATAATTTGTTGTGACCTGCACAGTAAAATGCCTTTGCATAGTCATTAAAACACAGATAGACATTCTTCTGGTACTCTCTGCTTTCAGCCAAGATCCACCTGATATTGACAACAATGTTCATAGTGCCATCAAATTAGTCAACCCATAGCTGACTCTCTAGTGAGTATTCAGAGGCAATACATTGTACAGGAGGAGACGGCTCATCTTTATCCCCAGGAGCAGCTGGTGGAGTTGAACTGCTTGCCTTTAGGATGGCAGCACAGCTCCTTGCCACTAGCCCATCAGAGCTTCCTAAGATAGGTATTGTTGTTGCTGTTGCTAGGTGCTGTCGAGATGAGTATGACGCATAGCAACCCTGTGAACAAAAGACCTGAATCTTGTCCTACCCTGTTCCATCCTCACCATCTCTGAAACACATGAGCCCATCTCATTTGGTATTTGACTTTCTTTTACTGAACCTGCATCTCTCTAAGTATGATACCCTTTTCCAAGGAACAGCCTCTCCTAGCAACATGTCCAAAATATGAAAAATGAAGCTTTTTCATCTTTGCCTCCAAGGATCACTCTGGCTGCCCTTTTTCCAAGACAGATCTATTTGTTTTTTGGCAGTCCTTGGGATAATCAGTACTCTTCTCCAATACCACAAGTCAAAGGCTACAATTCTTCTTCTGTCTTCCTTATTCATGATCCAGCTCTTAATTTGCATAGCTCTGTATTGCTATTGTGATCATTATTATCATTTTTAGCTCTCATTCAGTGTCCAGGCTATGGTCTTCACAATTACTTGCTATGCATCAGAAATCTGGATACTAACTAAAGATGACAGAAGAATCAATGTCTTTGAGTTGGGATGCTGGGAGAAGAGTACTAAACATACCATGGACTTCCAAGAGAACAAACAGGTCTGTCTTGGAGAGGGTGAAACCAAGTTGCTTTCTGGAGGCAAGGATTTTGAAGGTCCATCTCACATACTTGGGACACATGGCCAGGAGGGACCAGTCCTTGGAGAAGGATTCCATTCTTGGAAGGTAGGAAGGACAACGCAGGAGAGGAAGACCCAGATGAGCTGGATTGACAGAATAACTGGGGTAGCAGGGGTAGGTATGTTGGAGTCAGTGAAACTGGCTTATGATAGGGCAGAGTTCAGGGTATATAGGGTGACTATAAATCACAGGCATTTCGATGGCACAGAATAACAACACAAGGCACTGCACTTGCCTTTTACAAAAAATGATCTTAGCTACATGGAAATCCTATTGAGTTTATAGTACATATATACTTCTAAGATGAGAAAACAAATTGTACATGAGAATTTGTATTAGCAGATAGGCCTACAGTACAGAGATAGTCTGTTAATCAACAATGATTCAACATGATTCGAATGATAATGACCCTAATAACATCCTTCCATTTGTCCCTTAATCCAGGTATAAATATTAACTCCAAATAGAATTGATGTAATTTTCTAGGAGATTGCAGTGTTGTTCCTGAAAAATATTGAATAAATTTTTATTCTTTATTTTCTTTCCCTAGTCATGACAGTGCACTATAACTCTTACTTTACCTATTTCTCTGATGATCATGTCCAGAACAAATCCAATTTCAAACTTTCTTCTTGTAATTCTCATGGTCAGGGGCATGGCTGGGAGAATGCAATAGAAAATGCTTTTTTAGAAGAAATGTAAATATCCCATATTGATATGTCATTGCAATGAATATTATCAAAGATATTAAAAGAAGTGGATTGAAAGAACAAGTCAGATTCTTTGGAAGGGCTTTTAGCTGGGTTACCCCACAAGGCAAAAATGAAAGCCTTTCCTTCTGATCTGAGAACGTGACTATGTACCCTAGTTCACAGATTTATGTAACACTGGTATACAGCATGAAAGTACACATTCAGTACCTTAGGAAGACATAGTTCAATATTTTCTCTCAAATGACCAGTCAATGGAAATAAACAGGAGAAGGTGGAATATCCACTCTCCTGGGTTTGGTGAGTACATTTCTTTGATTGTAAAGAGGGGGAAAAAAACCCCACGTTTGATAAAACCTTGAGTTAAGAAAGCCTTTCCCAGAGCAGCCACATTTACTTGATGAGCTAGAAATCTAATTAGTGCTTATGACGTTAAACCTAAACACAAATAGAATTCTTTAACACATGTGCTCAGCTAATGTGCTTTTGATAAGCACAAGTAATAATAATCGTTGACATTTCCATTTTCTTGGAGAACACATTAAAATTATGCACACAGAATAGAAGAGTACTGAGATATTATCACCGGCTGGAAAAGCAATAAAACTTGGTTAATAAGTAGAAAGATGTTTCCAAAAAAATGTTCATATACTTCAATTTCAAAACACAGTCCAATCATGAAAAGTCTTGATCCTGAAGAAAAGAAAGATGTGCAGAAAAATCTATGATTGTGAATCAGATGCCAAATAACTCACTGAAGTGAGAAATGTTGTAAGAACTTTAGCAAATTCCACAGAACAAAAGGGAACCTTTTTACACTCAGGGGATTTTAATATCTAAGCAGATCCTTGAGATACTGAACATGTTCACAGTAAGTTTGATTGGTTTAGCCTCCTAGGATTCTCAAACCGGAACAACGAAACTGTTGCTTTTGATTTTTTATAAAACAAACAAACACAAAACTGTGACAATTAAGAAATGAAGGGGAAAGCTTTTCAGGCTTTAATTTTTAGGCTTCACATTGTCTGCGTATTTCCAGTTCCAAACAGTACTAATGATCTCTCTTTCCTCCAGGGAGATAAAGAAGCTGAATTAGGGCTTCCATTTTCTCCACTTTGTGACCGGAAGTCAACGATGGTGGCCCAGTCACAGATAGGTAATATTAAAGATTGAAGATTGTGGGGAGTGGGAGCATATTTTCCAGTTTTCCTGTGTATACAATATGTTGTTCAAAGGGACAACTTCCATGAAAATCTCACTTCACTTTATTTTGATCTTTAGACAGAGCTTCTATTCAAGGTGTTGACTAGTAAGAGTTATTAAAATAAATGCTCATGAGATCCAGTAGCCTTTATGAGTGTAATTGTCATTTTTGTGCAAGAGATACACTATTTTGTTGTTGTTTTGTGGCTGATTGTTATTTTCTGTGACGTGTTACTTTGTATGCAAGACAATTCAATGAAAATATTAATATACTTTTTCTAAGTTGTTGCATTGTATACTTAATGTTTTATATTGCATTCTCTTCGAGAAAAAAATATGCTCGCTCTAATTTCAACATATATCCCAATAAAAGAAATTGTGTAAAGTGGTACTGCCTGCAATCATGTTCATTCCAATCAGCCATAATTGTGTTGGGGATCCTAAGCCTTAGCCCAAGACTAAAACATACTTTACTCTGCTACTTAATTCAAACATTTGTAATCGTTACTCCCTAAACCAGCTTCTTCATTATTGAACTATATGATTCATAAACACAGCATCATCACATTACTTGTGTAGTTGTGATCCAATACTACTACGGCAAATAGTCACCTTTGACTCTGGCCTCTTCTCCTCCCATTCAGGTTCCAACAGTTCTTTTTCTAGAGAATGTTGGTGCCCTTTCTTATTAAGCAAGTGTGAAGATGTCAGACTGTGGACCTCAGTGGGCAGCTGATAGGGTTCTCAGTGCGATGCTGGTTGGGGAGACAACCCATGTGACTGTTTAGTTAAGTCATAATTCAGACTTGAAATACTGGCCAATTAAGAGCATTGATTAAAAAACCAAAACCATGAAGAAATGTTTTCATTTAAAAAGTAGTTTATGTTGTTACTCCGCTAGTTGCCTGAAAGGAATTACTTTTATCTGAGCATCTGATGAATGGGAAACTTGCCATTGTGTATTTTCCCAGCACACCATCCCTTAATAAGCCTCCTTCCAGCTTCGTTTCTTAGACCTAGACGTTAGCCCGCAGCTCTCATGTGTTTCGAAGACACAAAGCTCTTGATTAGGATCACAGCATCAGTGCTGGTCCTGGGGGTGCTAAAGCTTAAGCAGAGCTCTGGGAAAGGCTCCTTCTCCTTCTTTACCAAAACACTGGCTGTTAAGTGCTTCCTGGAGGCCAATTCTCTTTTCTCTCTGTGTGTCATCTTCTATCTTGATGAGTACTTTAAATGCAGAAGTCTTTTTATTAAAGTCTGACATCTCAAAGTGGTGGTATTAATGCTGCCTCCCAGAGATGTTACTGTTCTCCTTGCTGATTTGACAGAACACGCCCACATGCTGCGAACTAACACTTTACATCTAGAGAATAATAAACAGCAATTTGAAATATTAACCCACTGGCAGAAGGCTCTGATTAGTACAGTAAGAGAACAAGAAGGAAATGGGGGAGCAATTGCCTTCTCGTGGTCTTGGGGAAAATTCAATGACTTGATTTCTTTGACACTTAGCCTATTTCTTGTTGATTAACAATAAAATTCAGCAATCATTACCTTTTCCAAATCCTCACTCGGAAAAGGGAAAACCAGTCACACTCATTGGTGCTGAATTTGTTGTTGATTTAACGTAAGGTTGAATATTAAAAACAAAGCCAGTGTACGTTAATTTACAAACTTAAGTTATATCCTTTCCATTTCTTGAAGATTGGTAAAAGTGAGGCTAGCATTTTTAAAGACTGCATTATTTTCATATGTGTAATCAAACATGGAGTAAATTGATCCATGCTTTTCAAGAAGCATCAGTCTCTTCTTTATTACTAATTTTATAATTCAAGAAGTTGTGATACTGGAATTTGTCTTTTCTTGATTTTGCAGGGTTCATTGATTTCATAGTTGAGCCAACATTTTCTCTTCTGACAGACTCAACAGAGAAAATTGTTATTCCTCTCATAGAGGAAGCCACAAAACCAGAAAACTCTTCCTTTAAAACAATCAGGTTTGATATTTTGTCGTTATTTTACTGTTGAGATGTTTAATGACCTTTTAAATGATTATTGTTTCTTCAAACTGGCAGCAAATTCTTAGAGAATTATTAAATAATATTGCCATCTAGTGGTCATATATTAGATTGCATCTGTTTATGAGAAGAGAAAATACCCCAGATGGGCAATCTGTAAATCCGCTTGGAATTAAAACCAATGAAACCCGCTGAAGGCACAGTTATGAGTCAGTTCTGACTCAGTGACAGAAAGTTTTAATGATGTTTTAGACAGGAATGATTAAAACTACTAAGGAACTTAGCAAAATGGCTTTTACATTGTCATTTATACTAAGAAGGATAAAATTAATTACATTTTCATGGAAGAATTATGATGTTCTAGATATAGTAACGTATCTAATAGTTACTTGTAAAAAATGTAATCACAACTTGTTTGTATATCAAGGAAGATGTCTGTATCTATGATAATCTTTTAATTTAAATGAGTATGACAGCGCTCCAGTCTTTTAGATTAAAAAAAAAAAATGAATACAATAAGTACCATTAAATAGAATTAGACATAGAACCTCCCTACAATATTCCAAAGTGGTTTTCTGCATTAATAAGTGTGTTAAAGGATGCCCTCATTTAAAGCCCTAGGCACAGAATAGATGATAAACTTTTGTCCATCTGTTGGTCCAACATTTCATAATGTCACCCTCGAAAACAGCCACCCCTAAGTGAACCGCAGTGAGAAATCTGAGGAAAAAGTCTACTCAAGAGGGTTAAACTGGAAATTAAATGGGAGAGGAAGGGGCTGGGGCCCTTTCCCCCCTAGAGACTCCCCGAATGGTGATGCCCCTTCTGTGAAACAGGTCAGTGAACTTCACACTGAATCCCCTCACCTCAAGTGTCTACTGCTCTAAGACCATTCCACCCCCGGCCCCCCATCCTGATTAGACTACCCTTGGAAGACTTAAGGGAGCTCTCTGGGGGTATAGTCCAAAGGGACTTGCACTGTACCTCTTGGGGCTTAAAATCCAGCAGCTGCTCTTCTGAGAAAGATGGGCAATTTCTTCACTAGCAATTTACAGGCCTGGAAACTTGCTAGGAGTTGTGTCTGACTCGAAGGCAGTGAGTTGACCTAAGACTTGTGCTATTCAGGACATCCTTGCGGTAAGTGGGCGTTTCCACGTGAGGATGGTGAGCAACGGAAACCCCCGTCTCTGCCAGCTCAGTCTCTTCTCACTTGTCTAGGGGTTCCAGGTCTGCTCTCCCATTCCACAACCTGACTTCCATGTTTTGTTTGTTTTGTTGTTGTTTGTAATGCAAGCTCTGTCACATCTGCGGCATTCAAAGTTGCTGAGTCAGTGAGAACATCAAATGTGAAAGTGAATACGTGTGATGGGCACAATTCCTCCGAGTATTCCCTTACCACAGTGGACCTGAAGAGCTTCAAAAACAACCTGGTGGACATCATTCAACAGAATAAAGAAAGATGGAAAGAATTAGCTGCACAAGGTATGGTTGATTATAAAGCCTTCCTACCACTAAATTCTGTCTTAACTCCTCACTTCATATTTCCTATCCTCCTCTGATTTATTTTTCTTTGTTTTTAGAAAATGTGTGTGCCCTTTGTGATATTTAGATTTTGGCTATATTTTATCTTTGTGAAAAGTCTGGCTTGTCTTTTTTAAAGGAATACTGTTCTGCTTATCCCCTGGTTACTGAAGATATGTGTTACTGGGTGGTGATGAAATGGGTATGAAGGATGCACAATAAGTGTGGACAAGCCACGTTTGGTATGGTAGCTCTTGTGCCTTTGGAGAGGTGCCACTGAGCCTGTATTTTGTTTAGACTTTGCACTGGACTTTGTGTTGCGCTTTGAAGGTAGTATTGTTACTTTGGCTAATTGTTTCACTCAGGAATTGGAGAATTCATTCGCAACTGACCACCGAAGAAATCTGACAGGAAGTTGTAGGTGTTTTCAAGTCAGCTAACCCTCATAGTGACCCTGAGCAAAGATCCAACCCTTTGCCCCTGTCCTGTACCCGCGTCATGATCTCAAGCATGCTCAACTCCATTGTTGCATCTTGTTGAGGTCCTTCCTCTCTTTTATTGTTGTGTTGCTGCATACCATAGAGTCAGAATTGACCCATAGCTGACCCTCCAGTGGGTTTTCAGAGGCAGTTAATGGCATGGGAGGTGATTGCCCATCTTTCTCCGTTGGAGCATCCCCATGCTTTCAGGACTACAGCGTTACTTCTTGCCGTTGGGCCACCAGAGCTCCTTTTCTCTCTTTTACTGCCTTTCTGTCTTCCAATCATGTCTTTCTCCAAGGTCTGGTGCCTCCAGACAACATGCTCAAAGTATGTGAGACAAAATTTTAACATCCTTGCTTCTAAGAAAGCACTGGGGTTGGACATCTTCAACTTTCACATGCATTTGAAGCATCTTATAATGTATGACTTGACTCAGACACCTTTCATAAATTGACATCCTTTCTCTTCAGGACTGTAAAGAGGTCCTCAGCAAATATTCCCTGTGCAACATGTCTTGATTTCTTGACTGTTACTTTCATGGATGTTGACTGTGAATTCAAGTAAAATTAAATCCTTGACAACTTCAGTTTCCCCTCAATCTCAATCTAGCATTGTATTGCCTATTGATCTGGTTGCAGAGAACTTGGTTTTCTTGATGTTGAAGGGTCATTCATAATGAAGACTTGAGTCTTCACTAAATTCTTCATGCCATATTTAGTCTTTAATAGTCTTTAATGTGGTATCTTTAGTCTTCATTAGGTTTTTATGACATATTTGCTAACGTATATTAATCAGCCCACTTATTATAGGAGGTATGCCTAATGTATCAGAATAATTATTATCTACAACACAGGAAATGAGCTTTCAAATTCAAAATCTGGCTCCTATTTTTTTTCTCATACTCCTTCTCATAGTGTACAATAGTCACGGTGCTGAGAGCTTCTGGTAACCACCTAAAATACCCTTGGCCTTTTCAAGCACTGTTACATTAGCAGGGAGTTTCCTTCTTACACTCTCAGCAAAAAGAATTTCTTCTTACCTTTCAGGAGTTAGATTTTTATTTTTAACCTTAAAATATACTGACACAACTGAAATTGAACACCTGAACAGACCCATCGCAAAAAAGAAATTGAAAAGGTAATAAAACAACTTCTAGCAAAAAAAGCTCTGGATCAGATGGTTTTAAAAATGAATTTGATGAAACATTCAGAGAAGAACTGTCACCAATTCTACATAAACTATTTCAGAAAATATAAAAAAAAATGGAATTCTCCCAGACTTATTCTATGAAACAAACATATCCTTGATACCAAAGCCAGGAAAGGGCACCACCAATATAGAAAACTACAGGCCAATATATCTTATGAACATAGATGCAAAAATACTGAATAAAGTACTGGCCATTAGAATACAGCAATACATGAAAGAAATAATTCACCATGACCAAGTGGGATTCATAACAGGTATGCAACATAAGAAAAACAATCACTGTAATTCATCATATTAATAAAGCAAAGAACAAGAACCACACGATACTATTAATTGATGCAGAAAAGGCCTTTCACAAAATCCAACACACTTTGCTGATCTGAAACACTCAACAAAATAAGATTAGTTGGAAATTTCTTCAATATAGTAAAGAAGTACATACGCAAACCTGAGAGCCAACCTTTTTCTCAATGGAGAGAGAGGAAAGGCATTCTCTTTGACAACAGAAACTAAGCAAGGATGCCCACTATCCCCTCTCTTATTCAATATTGTACTGGAAGTCTTAGTGATACCAATAAGACAAGAGAAGGAAATAAGAGGTATCTAAATTGGCAAAGAGGAGGTAAAATTATCACTATATAGAGATGATATGATAGTATACTTAGAAAACCTTAAAGACTCAGCAAGAAAACTACTGGACATAGTTGAACAATTCAGAAAAGTGTCAGGATACAAGATCAACATACAAAAATCAGTTGGATTTCTCTACAGTAACCAAGAAAATACAGAGCTAGAGCTAACAAAAACAATACCCTTCACAATAACTCATCACAAGATTAAATACTTGGGAGTAAATCTAACCAGAAGCACAAGGATTTATTCAAAGAAAATTACAAAGCATTACTACAAGAAACAAAAAGATACCTGAAGAAATGGAAGAATATACCTTGCTCATGGATGGGAAGACTCAATATTGTGAAAATGGCCATCCTACCAAAGGCAATTACCATGTTCAGTGCAACCCAATACAAATACTAATCCTATTCTTCAACAAGATCAAAAGGGCAATCTCCAGTTTCATTTGAACTGGAAAGCAAAACACTCCTTAAAAAGAAAAACAACATTGGAGGCATCTCACTGCCTGATTTCAAATCCTACTACACTGTCGTGGTAGTCAAGACAGCATGGTACTGGTACAATGACAGACACATAAATCAATGAAACAGAATTGAGAATTCACCCATCTCCCTGTGGTCATCTGATTTTTGACAAGGAGAGGAAATCAGGAAACTGGGGAAACAACAGTCTTTTAAACAAATGGTGTTGTCTGCAGAAAACTCAAGCAGGAGTTACACCTCACTTTATATACAAAAACCAACTCAAAGTGGATCAGGGACCTAAGACTAAAACCAAGGACTGTAAACTTCATTAAAAAAAAAGATTGAAAGAACTCTAGAAATCCTTATCCACAACATCAACAGTCTTCTGAGAATCCTGAAAAATGTACAACCAGGAGAGGATAAAGTAGATGAATGGGACCTTCTAAGAATCAAATCCCTACGCACATACAAAAACTTATCCAACAGGGTAAAAAGGGAAGCCACCGACTGGGAAAAATATTTGGTAATGACATGTCAAATAACGGGCTTATATCTAGAATTTATAAAATACTTAAGCACCACAACAAGATAAAGGTAACCAACCCAATTGAAAAATGGGCACAGGATGTGAACAGACACTTCACCAAGACATTCAGATGGCAAACGAAACACATAAAGAAATGTTCAAAATCCCTAGCTCTAAGAAAGATGCAAATCAAAACAACTATGAAATATCATCTCACCCCAGTAAGAATAGCAAAATTTAACAGAACAGCAAACAACAAATGCTGACGAGGTTGTGGAGAAACTGGAACCCTTATTCACTGTTGGTGCACAACCACTATGGAAGGCTGTATGGCACTTTCTCAAAAATTTACAAATAGAAATATCAATTCCACTACTGGGAATATACCCCAAAGAAACCATAACCACTACCCAAGTACACCCATACGCACACCCATGTTTATTACAGCTTTGTTCACAATAGCAAAGAGCTGGAAATAACCCAAGTGCCCATCAACAAATGAATGGTTAGAGAAGCTTTGGTATATTCATGCAATGGAATACTACGCTACATTGAAAAACAAGGAACTCATGAACTATTCAAAATGGGTGGCCCTGGAGGACATTAGGGGCTCTCAGTCACAAAAGTACAGATACTGCATGGTGCCACTGTTGCAAAATGGGACTGACATAGGGGTTAGGAGGAGACTGCAAAGATGGGATAAATTATGTATACTGCATTGAAAGGTAAAAGATAGAACTGTTTAAAGGGAATATATAATTAGGTATTTTCATGACAGGAGTCCAGAATGAAGGCTGCGTAGTGGAGTGGACTTGGGGGGAAGGGATTGTATAGCAATGAAAGAATTTTTCTTTTACTTTTCAAAGAGAAGAGCAAATTGGAGGGAGAGGGGTAGGCAGGGAGAAAAGTGCAACAATGAATGAATTAATGGAAATCTAAAGTCTCTGTAAATTTTCATTAAAATTAATAATAATAATAAATTTTAAAATATATATTTAACAAACTCTGGTGGCATAGTCCAAGGATGTTGTGCTGCTAACTAAAAGGGCACATATCCAGTGATTTTAATCTATCGAATAATTTGCGACAGAAAGATAGACAGTTTTCTCCTATTAATATTTGCAGCTTAGGAAACCCAACAGAGGTAGCTATACATCAGAACCAACTCAATGTCTGTATGTTTTAGTTTTGAGTTTATGTTTAACAATCTGATTACAAAATTCCAAATTGTGTGAATGTGTGGCTTAGTTCTTCAGAGCTAATCTGAGCTGGGCCCAGTGTTCTGATGCCTCCAAGTCCCTTTTTGGTCCACACACTCCTTCCAACTTGTACCTCATTGCTACTCAGCTCTCATTTCCCTTTCCTTCTCCTGGATACTTCGCTCCAGTCACACTAACTTCCATAGGGTTCTTGTGTTTGTTTTTTGTGAACACATCAGGTAAATTCTTGCCTAATCCTTTTCACGTACATTCTTACCCATGGTTACTTCCTTCTCTCCTTCCAGGCCTAAACTCATTTGTCATTTTGTGGATGATAATTCACTTGACAACCAAATAAACATTTCTGATTGTACTTGCCCTCGTCCTTTGACCTTTCTATATCCCCCATCCCACCTTCTTTTCCCATCTTTTGTCTATAAATAAT